AGGCGCTTTTATAAACCTCAGGAGCCATTTGAAGGCCATTGCTAAAAAAAAAAATATTTAATAGAAGCTTCAACGTGTTAATGTCATTTCCGAAGGTATATTTATTCATTATAAATCTGCAGCTGTCATTAAAATAATCCCTGGTGATCCTGCCATGGAGGTCCCGGTTTTAGGCACTTCCTATTATAGGGTGACAATGCTCTGCCCTTGTTCAGACACTTCCTGTTATAGGGTGACAATGCTCTGTCCTTGTTCAGACACTTCCTGTTATAGGGTGACAATGCTCTGTCCTTGTTCAGGTATTTCCTGTTCTAGGGTGACAACGCTCTGCAACTGTTCAGGCACTTCCTGTTATAGGGTCACAATGCTCTATCCTTGTTCAGGTACTTCCTGTTCTAGGGTGACAACGCTCTGCAACTGTTCAGGCACTTCCTGTTATAGGGTGACAATGCTCTATCATTGTTCAGGCACTTCCTGTTATAGGGTGACAATGCTCTGTCCTTGTTCAGGCACTTCCTGTTATAGGGTGACAATGCTCTGTCCTTGTTCAGACACTTCCTGTTATAGGGTGACAATGCTCTGCCCTTGTTCAGGTGCTTCCAGTTATAGGGTGACAACGCTCTTTCCTTGTTCAGGCGCTTCCTGTTATAGGGTGACAATGCTCTGTCCTTGTTCAGGTACTTCCTGTTATAGGGTGACAATGCTCTGTCCTTGTTCAGGTACTTCCTGTTAAAGGTGACAACTCTCTTTCCTTGTTCAGGCGCTTCCTGTTATAGGGTGACAATGCTCTGTCCTTGTTCAGGTACTTCCTGTTATAGGGTGACAACGCTCTGTCCTTGTTCAGGCGCTTCCTGTTATAGGGTGACAATGGTCTATCCTTGTTCAGGTATTTCCTGTTCTAGGGTGACAACGCTCTGCAACTGTTCAGGCACTTCCTGTTATAGGGTGACAATGGTCTATCCTTGTTCAGGTATTTCCTGTTCTAGGGTGACAACGCTCTGCAACTGTTCAGGCACTTCCTGTTATAGGGTGACAATGCTTAATCCTTGTTCAGGTACTTCCTGTTATAGGGTGACAATGATCTGTCCGTGTTCAGGCACTTCCTGTTATAGGGTGACAATGCTCTGCCCTTCCTCAGGCACTTCCTGTTACAGAGTGACAACGCTCTGTCCTTGTTCAGGCACTTCCTGTTATAGGGTGGCAACGCTTTCTCCCTGACTACCACTTGTGCTCCTGCGTTGTCACCCTGTCACTTAACAAACTACAGGCGCTCTCCTTGTTCAGGGGCTTCCTGTTATAGGGTGACAACGCTCTTTCCTTGTTCAGGCGCTTCCTGTTATAGGGTGACAATGCTCTGTCCTTGTTCAGGTACTTCCTGTTATAGGGTGACAATGCTCTGTCCTTGTTCAGGTACTTCCTGTTAAAGGTGACAACTCTCTTTCCTTGTTCAGGCGCT